TCCGACGGATTCATCCGAAAGTATCACCGAGGATGAGTCACACGTCATCGATGCGACCCCGACCGTGATATCAGGGCTGTCGCTCTCGCCACATACCACCTACTGGACACAACTCATCCACACTCGCCCTGAGAGTGGAGTCCCGGTGTTTGGCATGCCATCAACGACACAACCAGCTCAAGTTTCTAAGTCTAAGAAGAAGAAGAAGAAGAAACCGCGTAAGGCGCGGCCTGGCCGATGCATGTTCGAGTTTGCATGTGCCTCGGATTCGCAAATGCACGAGACTTTTCTGGGGATGGGAATTCCCCACATTGCCCTTTCAAAAGAGCACCTCGATCTAGACGATCCCCAAATGCAAGCGCAGTTGCATCACCATATAAGCACCTGTGATGAGACTCCCGATTTGTGGGCTTCAATCCCATGCACATCTGGGTCTCCTTGGCAAGGGTAAATCGCATGAAAGGGGGGCTTAACTTCATGAAAAGGCATGCACTCCAGGTTAAGGAGTCCAAGCGTTTATTTGCCGAATTTGCCAAGTCAGCAGAGCTAACGTTAGCTCGAGAAGGCACTGTCACTTTTGAGTGGCCTAAAGGGTGTGAAAGTTGGCAACGCACAGACGTAAAACATTTCTTTGATAGCCACCCTGAGTTTATTCCAGTCGAATTTGACGGGTGTGCTGTTGGTGTGAAATCTACTAAAGGCAGACCCATTAAAAAGAGGTGGCGCCTGATGACCACCAGCAGGGCTATCGTCGACATGTTCTCGCAGTTCCAATGCACCCATAAACCCCACGAACATGACCAAGCGGTCGGGTCGCAGACAGCTCGTACTGCATTTTACCCAAGGCAGATGACTGTCCAAATTGCAAAGGCCCTTTACCCTAGCATGTCTTTTTCCCATCATGCCCCAGCCATGCCATGTTTTTCATGTACCTATGAACATGAGCACAGGGACAAAGAGCAGACGCTGAAACACGTGTCAGCTTTGTCGGGAATCGACGCTATGGCCATCGCAGTTGAGACAGACGACACTGTCGGGCCAATGGTTGAATGTTTAATGGATATCAGTGCTCTTATGCACGAGGCCTACCAGATCCCAAAGACCGATGATGGTAGAGATCAGGTAGCAGCTTTGGTCACCAAGCTCCTAAGCCGTACCGAGATGCTCAGTGATCCTGAAGCCTTGCAAAAGGTTAAGGACGAGGCAGCCGATTTGGTTAACGAAGGTACTTGGGAGTATGAATCCGTTAGGGAAAAGGAGCACGTCCGTGCTGAGGCTAAGGCTTCCGGAGTCTCCGTCCATTTCGGTAAACTAATGACCATAGCCTCCATTAAATTTTACGAGCTGGCAAAGGAGTTGCAGAAAAAGAAAGGTAGAATTGTCTACTGAGGTGACTGCGCAAAGGACGAGCATGGCGCAGCAGCCGTCTATGAGGAATTAGGCGCAAACCCGACTTCGGTCCAAGGGTTGAACGCTTGCCTAGCGTACGGGTCACTACCTGGTAACCTGTGCACCGCCGCGGATGCGGTGAAGGCGTATGTGCAAGCAACACTAAAATCCAAGTATAAAACTTGGATCGAATTACCACCTGAACTTCGACCCGCATGGTGGAAGAACAAATTTGTTCAACCAGTGGTCCTTCTCGTCAAAGCGCTGTACGGACATCCCGACGCAGGAGGGATGTGGGAACAGCATTTGAAGGGCATTCTTAAGAAAATGGGTGGCGAAGAAATCCCAGAGTTCCCCGGTAACTTCTGGTTTTCTGGTCCTCGTTTAATGTTATCTACATACGTTGACGACCTTACTTTGGCAGGGCCACGGGAACACCACCAAAAGTTTTGGTCAGAACTCACGAATGTTGATAACGTGGAACCACCCGAGCCTATTTACAGAATGCTAGGAAGGAACCACATCTACGCGGTAGTCCCAGATTCAGGAAACACCGAGACCGCTGCTTTGCGCGGTAGTGCTGACGCCCTAATCTTCGACATGAAGGATTACGCACAGCAAACCATCGACCTCTATAAGTCGGTGGCCGGTGTTGAAAAGATAAAGTCAGCCCAGACGCCATTTCTCGCCGACGGCACATTCTCCACGGCTGATGAGGAGTCGCCCGGAGAGCTCGCACCAAAGGCGTGCTCTATCCTGATGAAAGCCCTATGGCTTGCCAGGTTAGCACGACCCGACATCCTTAAACCGATCAATGATCTAGCCACTAAGGTACAGAAGTGGACCCGTGTGCACGATAAAAAGCTGCTACGGCTCATTCAGTACATTCAACACTCACTAGAATATAGATTAACCGCCGTCTGCGGCGATGATGCTAGTGAGCTATGGCTAGAGCTGTTCGTGGATGCCGACTTTGGTGGCGACCAACACGACGTGAAGTCCACCTCCGGCGGGTACTTAGTACTCAAGGGTCCCAACACCCATTATCCACTAGCATGGGTATCTAAGCGCCAGACCTCCACGTCAAGGTCCACTACAGAGTCGGAAGTAGTGAGCTTGGCCTATTCGTTTTATCAAGAAGGTCTTCCTTCGTTACAACTATGGGATAAACTCCTTGGACGGACCGTTAACCTCGTCATACAAGAGGATAACCAAGCCACGATTCTAGTAGTGAGAAAGGGCTTTTCCCCTAAGCTACGACACATCAGCCGAACCCACAAGATAAATCTTAGTTCTTTAAAAGAATGCATCGACGACCCATCTGTCGAGATTAAGTACATCGATACGAATGAACAAGCTGCAGACATTTTCACCAAAGCGTTACCACCACAAAAGTGGTTCAAAGCGCTATGCTTGCTTGGTATCCGTACAGACTTAAAGTGCTTAATCCCGTCTAAGACAGATAGGAGCCTTTCGAGCAGTTCGAAGCCTTCGTAGGTCGTCGAAACCGCTGCCACCCGGCGCGGTAATTCATGCATGTACAAAGGAATGCTGCCCCAAAACGGGGAGGGGGGAGTCATTTTCTGTGAACCCCTAGTATGTAACAGCATTCATTACATGTTCACCTATCTAGCTACGGTTCACACATCACGTGTACAACACATGTGACAACCGTCGCTCTTTGGCTCAAGGAAAAGGACGCCCGTCCGTTTCCTTGCAGGGTGCCGGGTTTAACTGTCCTGTGGACGGTTTTCCCCTTCGTCGCTTTTCGCTTCCGCACTCTTTCGCACTTCGTTGCCTCTCCGTTCGTTCGTTCGCCGTCGTGCCTTCGTTCGTCCGGCAACCTGCACTTTCGCCACGGGGACTCGACCCTCCAACCGTCGGGTACTCGTTCCGGTCGATCGTGCCGCTAGGGATTTGGCATACCACTTCTACTTCCTCCCGGCTGATAGAATAAGATGGGCCATCCCTTATCTTCCCAATAATTTGTGGATTCAATTTCAATGGATTCCATTTCATAAAGCAGAAGTATGAGGCTTTGACTTTGACCTGGACTGAATCTGCAAGGGCATCACACGACAATGTTCACACAAATATTAGGATACATGATGATATATATATATATATGCAGCACAAATTGACATGCAGTGAATAAGTGTGCTGCAAAAGCATGTGCATCAACATCTGACTGAGAATTTCGGCTGGAGAACGAATGAACACCTACGAACAATTTTCAGTGGCCCGAAATGTATTCAGAGTCAAAACATTTATCTATCATGATAAAAGCGCTGTTTATGGTAAAACCAGCAGGGAAATGTGCTCTTGCATTTCCCCGTCGAGCCGAAAAAGAAACGCCTGTTTCAGATCGCGGTGTTCTCTTCCGTTTCAATTCCGGAGCTTGCGCAATAGATGTTATCCCGTGATATTGTCGTGCACAATTCGACATGACCGCTGGTGTGATGGTCAGAGCGTAGCGGCATAGCAGTGTGGCTATCCTTGACCGTCCTTTTGATTTGTCCGTCTCCTCTGAAGTTGATCTCCTGGTAGCTTCTTGTTCCTAGAAGGAAGGCCAGGAGCCCCTAGTAGCGTCCTTGCTCCTAGTAATAGTAGCGATGCCAGGAGCCCCTAGTAGCGAACATTGTTCCTTTGATGGTCAGAGCTTCTCAAAAGTTGATCTCATACTCCTTTGTGGCTTCGATTGCCCACGCAACCTATTTTCATTTGGCAGCGAGGAGTGGCCACACAAAAAAAACAGAGACTCAGGTTCTTGCTGCTGCCGATGAAAGGCTCTAACACCTTCGCGCCTGCTGAGTGTACTGAGGAGTGCGTTCTTTTTGTACTTGACAGGCTTGAGCCGAAGACTTGCCTTTGTTGTTGCTCTAGTCAGCGTTCTCAACCAGAGACATGTCATGGAAGCAAGGCGCTGCAAGCACAGCTACTAGTCGCATTACCTTCCAAGACACAGACCTCATGAGCCGAAGCTATATAATTATGAGGAATCAATGACTGGTCTGTTGTGGACGTGAAAAACAAATCGCAAAAGAGATTTACGAAATTCTTCAGGACAACAGTCAGCCACAAAAGTTCGCTTCACCCTCTCTGAACTTTCTTTTAGGGAACGATCCTTTCCCCAACTTGTTGTCTAAGAGATATCCTCTGCGCCACAACCATTGCCGCTTGGATAATATCTCAGTGAAGTACAGTATATTATAAAGACATCCCAGCCTTATTAAAGGCGAGCATCGAGCATTTAAACTGCTAGAACAAACGAGTGTAGACACACATCCACCTCATCCATTAGCATCGAACAGCGAGTGAATCATTTGTCTACAACCCCCCCAGAATCGGCCAAGAAAAATGCCAATAGTAAGGTAACACTATGATACACCATCAAGTCCTACATAAAATCCTGCAAGAACTAGGAGCATTCTGATATGTAAGGGTTCTCTAAGAAAACTATCCCGCCTGGCGGGAGAAGCTTCTTTGAAGAAGCCGAGCTCTACTGCGCCCTTGCAGCCTTCTCATTTAGCCTCCTACATCCTCCTTGAGGCGATGAGAACTAAAGAACTTGCGTAGGTGTGTGAGTTGTGTGTGACTCTTGAAAGTTTGAGGTCTTGAGCTGCTTCGTTTTGGCAACACTACACTGGCGGTGGCGGTGGCGCCACGAGCCGCCCGTGCAGTACATACTTTGGCACCTGCTGAGCTGGTCCAGGCAGCGCAGCATCCTGGCTAATGGATGTTTGAATGCTTTGACATGCATTTAATTGATTTACAGTTTTTATTTATTGCTTGTCTTGCTTATTTGATAGACCAAGTTTCAGGATTTGTGGTTGAAGTGAAATGCAGCTCTTGGCTGGTCAAGCTTAGGTCTTTGGCTGCTGCGCCTCCAACTTCAGCCGCCTTGGAGAGTCTTGGTGTAGTGCTCGGAGAGGCCATTTGCAGGCTCTGTCCGAGTTGCGAGTTGCTTTAGTAAAGAGTTTGAAGAGACTTTTGAGAAGAAACTTCAAAAGAGCTAAGAGTTGGAAGACGCTTCAAAGAAGCTAGGAACAAGAAGCTACTAGGAGCAAAGGGCATCGCTACTAGGAGCAAGGACGCTACTAGGGGCTCCTGGCCTTACTACTAATAACAAGAAGCTACTAGGAACAAGAAGCCATTGCTAATTTGGGCCGGCCAGACACCGCTGCCTGGACTTGGATCAGTTGTCCACGTTGACAGCTGAAGCTTCTGGCAGCGTGCTCAAATCCTTGCTCCGCCATGTGGAGGCTCGGAGCTGCGGAGAGGAGAGTTTGACATGGTGTGACTCTCTCTCTCTCTCACTTTTACAGTTATAGTTATACAGTGGTGTGCTTGTACTTATAGAACATACACAGATTCAAAATTTAATTATCTAAAGATTGACTTCTGCAATGGTCGAACATACATGTACTTCATGTGAGACCAGTTGGTGTTTCTCCTGCACCACAGACATGATCAATGTGCCCTCTCTTTCTTTCTCTCTCTCTCTCTCTTCGCAGCTTGTCTTTTCTGCATCCGTTGAAGGGAGAACGAGAACTAGGAAGTCTCAACCATGAAGCAGCATCAGACACCAACTCCCTGCCAGACCCTAACGTAGCTTTTCATTCTCCTCATCAAACAGAAGACAGTATTTGATGATATTTTTTACTTACAGTATTATACTTCTCAACAGAAGCTACATCTTGATCTGACCGTTGCACAACGCCATCTGGCAACGTATCATCCGAGAGCGTGATGAGCAAACGAGCAGCAGACAAGACTGTTTCTGCTGGGCTAGAATTTTTCTCCGCCTGGTTTTGCCCCTATGCACAGCGAGCTTGGATTGCTCTCGAGCACCACGGCCTCAAGTACAGGAAGATTGAGGGATTACTTCCAGATGCTCCAGGTGAAGACTTCAAAGGCTACAAGAAGCATCCCAGATTGCTGGAGTTGAACCCCAAGGGTTTGGTGCCCACCCTGGCCGAAGATGGCATGCCGCCTGTCTATGAGAGCTCTGTTTGCGTGGAGTACATTGATGAGATAGCAGCATGCTGCGGAGAACGCCCCAGCCTAATGCCAGGCACCCCTGCAGAGAGGGCAGCTCTTCGGCTAAAAGTAGATTGGATCAACAAGAATCTCTGACTCATTTTCAACAGTCTTTCTTCTCCCTACGCATTGTTACCGTTGTGGATCTACAGGACATTTGCGTGTTTGTCAATGTGTTCTCGGAGGGAGTCTTGCAGTCTTGCGTGTCATAAAATCGGACCGCTCGGGTGGTGTTGCTCAGTCACAAACTGGACCTGAGTCGGAGCCGAGGAATCTTTGCTCCCCCTTCTACCAGGTGTTGGTCCGCACATCTACAGAAGACCGGGAAGCTGCCCTCAAGATGCTACAGTGCAGCATCGATGAACTGGAGGCTGCATGGAACTGATGGAAACACCTGCAGCCTTGGAAGTGGCCATGTTGAAGACCTGTTTTAGGCTCATTCAATACAGGTGTTGCACAGTTTTTGAAATCTTTTAAAAGCCAGCTTATGATATCATTCTCAAGCACTGTGTTGCTTGTATGGCATCCCATATCTTGAGCCTATTGCAGTTTGTCTGTTGAATAGCACCTTCTTTGAAGTAGCGATGAAGCGAACTGAGTGATCACACCATCACCTGCCAGGCGTGGATCAAAGGACCCTACTTCATGGGCGAGCAACTTACGGCAGCCGATATTGCCTTTATTCCTTGGGCTTATCGCATCTTGCACTGCAAGATCCTGGAACGGTTTCGAGGCGAAAATTGTGGATGAACCTTTGCCTGAGGGGAATGGGAAGATAAGTAGACACGGGCAATGCTGTGTTTCGGTTAGAGCTGCGAGCATTTCGACTTGTGGGTCATGTGCAATCCACTTTTGTTCTCATTCGCAGGCCCAGCCTTTGCTCTCGACCTGGCGACTCGTCCAAAGCTGGCAAAGTGGCTAGACAGTGTCTTAGCCACCGAAGCCGTCAAAGCCACGTTGGCTGAACCCGAAGCGCTTTGTGGTACCTACAAGCGGTATGCCGACAACACGGCACTTTCAAAGGTGGGAAATACATATTGCATGCACAAATGCTTTTGGATCTCTTTTGCTTGGTCCGAACTTTCTCCTAGGCCCATGTTGCAACTGGACATTTTGCATGTTTTGGGTTTCTGGCCAGGTGGCAGAGGCTGTAAGACAGGGCAAGACTGCAGACTCTGTCTGAGAGCGTGACAGTACAGTGGAAAAAGCAAAATTAGCCTGTACAGTCCTAGCAGCCCTGACATAGCATCTCTGTTGCGTGCAACTTTTTGATGCTCGACAGTAGTTGTTTGTCAGGTTGACGAGCTTCCAGATGAAAGTGAGGAGGATGAAGAGGCTGTGTGTATGACTGCACGGCTTCAGAGCAGTATTCAATTTGGATTTATTCATGTGAGGTGTTGGTGGCTTGCCTGGACCGGCTTGCTGACCAGGCGCATGGTGCTGATGTGGAGTACAAGCATGAGCAGACTATTGTCTTTAGTGGTCTCAGTTGTCCTAGCGGCTTAGCACAACGCAATTTTGCGTTTTCCAGGCTCCGCGGCTCAGCGCGGAAGACTTGGTTGCAAGTCTGTGCGGATTGGCTATGCTTGGTGTGCGAGATGATGTAGCAACAGCGGCCCTCTCGGAGGCGTTTTTGAGTCTAATTAGTCAATTGGGAGGGAATAATACATACAAAGTGTTCGCCAAATTATTCCAACACCCTGAATAGTTTAGTGGGAGGGAATAAAATAAAGTCTGTTCACCCGTCTTTTTTTTAAAGGTTTGTCTAGTTTACTATTGATTCAGACCACCACCACCACCACAAACAAAAAACAACACGACAGCTACTACACGACTACTACTACAGCTACTACAGCTGCTGCTGCTGCTGCTACTCCTACTCCTACTGCTCCCATTGCTGCTCCTATTGCTATTGCTACTGCTACTGCTACTGCTACTGCTCCTACTGCTACTATTACTACTGCTGCTGCTACTACTACTACTACTGCTACTACTACTACTGCTACTACTGCTACTACTACTACTACTACCAGTTTTTGTGGCGGTGCTACTGTTGAGACTCCCTCGATTGTTTGCTAGGGGGAGGAGGGGGACGGTTTTACCAATTAAGATCCAACATTGATGAGTCTAATGAGAGCCGAAGTTGTGGAAATTCTTAGATTTGATGAGACTTGATCGATCTGAGTTCCCCAGGAGGTCACACAGGCTATACCCATGCTGGCTTGTCCCGAGCTGGCACTGCTCTCGTGGGCATGTGGTGCGCAAAGAAGGGTTGTGATTGGTTGGTTTCAGCAAACTGAACCTAGAATGTCACACCTTGAATTTTAGTTGCTTAATTGACCGTCTGTTTATTGTTCGCCGAGCTAGCCCGTGCTCGCTACCTGCGGGGTTTACACAAGTACTGTGCTACAAGTCGCTCAACATAATCATAATTTGTGGATTTCCAGAATTCATTCACACAGCCGCAAAGCGTTGTCTTGAGTTTCACCACACCCTTTGGACATGAACAACTCTGGCTCAAGTGTGGCGTGTCACCTGAAAACTCTTGCCAGCAAGGAACCCAAGAATCGTCAGAGGATTCTACTTTGTTATAGTACGGGAATCTATTATACAAGAAATTGCTTGTGCCAATCTTCTATTTGAAGGGTTTGGAAATTTGCCGCCCGGAGGGTTTCAAATAGAAGAGGCCAGGTGGAACAAAATATTCCGGGCACAACGTTGGTGAAAACCGAGAGAGGCCAAACCCCGAGCCACTTCAAATAGAAGATGCGAACAAGGCAAAGAAGAAGAAGAAGAGAAGGGAAGGGAAAGGAGAAAGGGTGGGGA